GGTAAAGCCGGTAGCGGTCGCTAATGATCTCTTGTGGCACACCGTAACTCGTGAACACTTTCATTAGTGCTTCGGCCGCCTGCAGGGATCCAATGTTCTTCATCGCTACCGCATCCGGGTATCTCGTAGACATATCCATCATTGTCAGAATGTACCTGTTTCCCGAGGTCCCGATTGGTAAAATGGGGCCAATTATGTCTATCGCGACTCTCTGAAAGGGTGTCTCGATAGTCGGCATGCTTCCTAAGTGTGCCTTGCTCTGCTTGCCCTTGGGTACTGTGGGTTGACAAACATCGCATGACCAAACGCTTCTCTTGAGCTCGCTCTGCATACAAGGCCAAAAAAAAAATTCTTTCGCCACCAGGTTGAGCTTGTTCTTCATGCCCTGGTGTACTGACATGATGCTGTCATGTAATAGAGCCACGGCGGCGGTCTTGAACCTTCTCGGGAGTACAAGTTGCTCTACTTTTCTGCCGGATGAGTATTCAACGGCCCTTTGTAGCAAACCATTCTTGAGAAAAAACTGGAACTTCGTCCTGCCCTTGTGTTTTCTGGTCGTTTTTCCTATCTTACCAAAACGCTTAATGAAAGTTCTATCCTCCATCTGCTCCATCGGGCGCTCCTCGGTTGTCGCATCGATCGCTGCCACCTGCGACACTTTCAACGGTTGCTCTGGTCCTTCCATTTGACCCCTTACTCCCTTCTTTCTTGCAACCACAACTTCTGCTGGTTTCTCTTTGCGGAGCTCGTCAGTACATTAGGACGATCCCGGAGTCGTGCGAAAATTGAAGCCGACTTCTACGGCGTTCAAAAGTGATTCCGGCTTCGACGTTGGCTTGGCCAGAACTGGACCTTGACTCTCTTCGTTTTAATTTTCCAAGTCTGGGTTTGGACCATTGGCCTCCCGCATTTGGGGTATATTCACATGTACCGGATCACAGAGAGTGTTACTGACAGATTTTGCCGACACATTTCCGGTGCAGTAGGGTGTTCGTACAACTGTATCTGCCTCGGGCAGATATCGAACCATCTGGTCCAACAGAAATGCCGCCCTGTTGGAAAACCCAGTACAACGTTTCGCTATCTAAATTATGTAACTGAAAATCTATTTGGATTTTATTTGGACTCTATCTGAATTTTAGGTTTTCAGAAGTGATTCCTTTGTCTGCAATCCGGATGTCGGGTTTCCAGAAACAAATTTCCAGTTCCATAATCCAGATAGTGAAATTTATACTGGGGTTTTCGGTAGGGTGGACTTGACATTCCTGTTAGACTCTCACGGGGAACCAACTCCCTCCGGACCACAACGGTGTTACACCCGGTATCCCCTAATATCGTTATCTTGTGCTCCCCGAGATGGCCTTCCACGACCGGCACGTTCTCTACTAAGAACTTTGGAGGTGTTCCCATGGCCGCGTTTACTACCGGGATTTTGTCACCAATATTCAGTGTTACGTAGGAGCCGTCGGGCGCGTTCACAGCCCCTGTTGACGCAGTCTATAAGCCCGAGGCTTGCTGTTTCTCGTTTTGCCTTCCCTTGCAGTTTTCCGCCTTATGACCAGCACGCCCACAATTCCAACACGCCACTGTTTTCTTGCCTTGCGCGCTGCTTCAGCAATTTCTGGCCTTATGTCCAGCCTTCCCACAGATGCAGCAGCGCATAGCTCTTCGCGTCTCACCCCTTGCGTGAGCGTCTCCGTTTCCCGCGCCTTGTCTGTTTGTCAGCTCGTCTGACTTTGGCCTATTTGAGCTCGATGGTATCTGAGCTTCAAGGAACAGGTCAGCCTTTGCTGCTCCGTCTTCCAATGTCTGACAATCACGCTCTCTAAGGAAAACGACCAGCTTGATCGAGGAGGTAAACATGAACTGTTCCACCAGGGCCTGGTCTAGTAATGCCTCGAAAGTCTTCTCAACTCCGGCTATCTTGAGCCATCGGTCAAAACATCCTGCCAATCAGGCAGCAAATTGTCTGCGCGCTTCGCCCTTCTGGGGCTCGGCGTTGCAAATCGTCTCGCGGTATCTCTCCTTAGTATACCTTAATCTATGGAAAAGCGCTTGCTTGAACTTTCCGTAATCCAACGCATCCTCCGGTGCCATCCAGCCAACCACAGACAGTGCCTCCCGGTCAAGCATAAGCTTAGTGTGATGGCCATTTTCTACGAAGGCCAACTTGTTCCTACCGAAAAATCCAATATAACTTTTCGCTATCCCAATTATGGAACTGAAAATCTATTTGGATTCTATCTAAGTTCTATCTGGAATTTAGGTTTTAAAAATTTTTTCCTTTGTCTACAATCTGGATTTCGGGTTTCCAGAAACAAATTCCCGGTTCCGTAATCCGGATAGGGAAAAGTTATACCGGATTTTTCGGTAGGAGAGCCCTGTTGCTGCACGCTCGAAGCGCTGCAGATACGGGTCTAGATCCTCCCTCCGTTCGTCGAACTGCGGGATTAACTTGTGGGGACTCCCTCGAATCTCTAGGCCTGGCGCTTCCCGCGCTCGTCTCCCACAGTTCCTGCACTTTCATGACTAATCTCACGTGCGGCGATTCTCAGCTGCAGAATCTCCCTTTCCTTTTCTGATTTAGCGCACACTGCAGCTAACGCTCTTTCGGCTGATTTCCGGTTTTCCCTTACGTTATCACGTTCCTCAGCTCTCTCAGATCTCACGAGCGCTTTCTCTTTATCCGTCCGAACTCTTTCTTCAGCTACCCATTTCTATAGCTCGTCCCGAGTATGCCCCAATTCCCTTCCCAACGCGATTATTCGTTCTAGTTCTATATTACCACATAGGACTCAGCCTTCCTCTCGACTCTCTCACCTCCCGAGAAAACGCAACTGGGATGTAACGGGTTTTGACGAGTCCTGACAGGGTGGCTAATTCGTCAAGTTTGTTCGGGAAGGTGAGAGAGAATCATGGGAACCAGAGCCAGCGGGGAAACTAAAACGTACTTTACTGTAAGAAGAAAAAAAAACAAGCGAAAAAAAAAACAGAACTACGATCAGGTCTCGGATAAAATGAAACAAATGTTGCATTAAAAAGTAAAGATATATCAAAAGTCAACACAAATAGTCATCACTCTGCATAGTCACGATGTGATGTGGCGGGTGGATCGCTATTGGGCGGTGATCCAAGCCTGGCGGAGTCGATTGCGAGGACGGCACATATAGCCGACCGGTTCAAGGGTAGCGGAGTTGATTTCGGGCCGGCTATGCCCCATAGCCGGCCTGAGCTCCGCAACCCCAGAATACAGCAGCCTAATCTCGCGGCCCGTCGGATTGCTTCGAACCCCTCTCGCGCCTGTTTCTCCTTGTTTTCTTGTTTCGTTTTTTTTTTTTTTTTTTTTTTTTTTTTTGCGCGCGGTCGAAATTTTTTTTTTTATGTCCTTTTTTCCTTGTTTGTCTGGTAAATCATGACAGTCGCCTAATGGATACCCTTGCATGTAGGAGTGTTTCATTATTTTTTCCATGTAGCTAAGATACTGTCATTTCATTTTTTGTGATTCAAAGTTAATGTGTTTGATTCATGCAGACGACACTGAAATAGTAGAATACACACTTTTCGTAAAAACTTAAGGACAACCAACTTGGCCACTCTGTACTTTCCAGAGGCTTATCAACATTTAGTAAGAGTCGACTGCACGACGGTTCAGGTTTCAGAAGGCACAGAGAACACAGTGGAATAAACTTAAACAAGCTCTTTTCTTCTCGGAAATTTTACTACGACATGTACGTTGGCTGTCGAAATTTGTTTGCCTAAGCAGAGCGTGGCTTTTGAGAGACTGTGCAAAACATAACAAAGTCGGCCACATTTGTTTAGGTGAAAAAGCTTCTCGGTATCATTATTTAAGGTTGAATTGCATTCCGCGCGTTGCGCCAGAAAGGAGGGACAAGAGCATTCCATACAATATATTTTTATTAAAATATCGTTTATGACGTCAATGTGGAAGCGCGATATTTAATTTTTGGGTAAGATATCCAACAAGTGTGTCTTAACACGGATCAGTTTACTTGCTTCTCTATACAAAGAGAGACTTTCAAGAACACGCCTTACTAGTGTTGCGTATTTATCGATCCTTCAGTCGTGTGTACACGGCGTTTACACTTGTTCAGCTGCTCGCACATTTCCCCCGTGCTGACAAATTCGAAACTTATTAAAATTCACTTTATTCCCCTGTAAATACGCTCTGCCGATAAAAAGAAACGTTTTCAAATGTAGCGCTAACATTGAGCAAGATTGTTGCTAAGGAGTAATTCAACCACAATCAGAATAACGACTTGAGAGAAGTAACGAGTTACATTTTAAATTATATTAAAATTATACTATTATAATTTATATATTCTACTTAAAGTGCTATCTGAGTGTGTTTGCTAGTAGAGAATGACCTCGACCTGTAAATTCAAAGCCAGACGACGCACTGATAATAGAGATGCAATTTCTCGCTATATTCGGAGGCCAACAAGTTAACCCTTTTAATTTGAAATAAAGGCCGTTTGACAGAGCAATTAATCACAGATGCGCGTGTGTGGCTCTGCACATGACACGTCATTCTTATTATCAGCATTACCATCAACATTTTGATTAATCATAAATAAACCAGGTTATGATGACTACGAATGTATGGCTTCGCCGAGACGTTTTATCCTAAGAATTAAGGCAAATCACACGGCCGTAATACTAAAAATATATTCATACGATCTGCAGGCTATCTTCAAATTAACTAAAAAAAGATTAACATGTCAAGCCAGAGAACCTGACCAAACATCCCGGACCCTAAGTTCAAGGTTACGTCGATGAAGTTAAGAAAAGAGAAGTTGGATACTTCCTAAAGTGATCTTCTATTGAGGATTCAAGCGGTTCGTAATATCAGTTTTAGTATTCAAGTGATCCGCTCTATGCGTCTTAATTTCAATACTTTGCGATTCATAGCGATTTCTCATGTTAATTTTCTAGTGACTGACTTATGAAACGTCACTAAATTAATCAAGTGGTATACTCACTGGACAATATGTATCGTTAGGAAACATAGGACGCTGAGCCCTGCAGAACTCCTCTTGCTCAAAATAGTGGACCGGTAAGTCAGCTGTTCTTGGTATAATCGGGGTTGGCGCCTCAATCCAGCACGGTTGACTAAGCCTAGAAAGCATGCACATAATAAAAAAAAATCTAAACATCACCAATGCGAAAATATATTTGCCAATCATTATATTGGATGCCTGAATATCATTTTGAATTCAAAGGTTGGTGCCGTAATTGGTTCAGTAATATAATGTTTCGTACCACAGAAGTTCAGTGTCGCGAAACGTCACGCTCTGACAACTAACTCGAAAAACTGGTCATACGGCGAAATTAATAAACCAAGGCGCTTTTTCTCATTATCTACACGATATCAGCTAATATTCATCAGTCCTTTGTCCAACCGGAAGAAAATCTGGAATTGTGCAAATTTTTACAAGGGAATTTGTTATCACAGTGTTTTATCCAATCACTTCCTTTTTAATATATAGGAAGATTAACTAACCATATATTTGATTACTCTATGTGCACTCTGAAAGTCTTGTGAAATTTTTAATTACAAACATTGTTGGTACTTGGCTTAACGGAGAAATTTTCAACCCTGATCTTAGTGACCACCTTCCAACCTTTTTACGCGGAGATGTTTTAGAGCGCTGCTTAAGGCTCCCGTTTCCTAGTTGAGCGACGTCGGCGTCGGCGTAACCGCGCGCGTTGCACTATAGGGCGTCAAATTTCCCCGCTAAATATACCGCGCAAGCAAAACTGGTGTTGAGGTCACGCGACGTCAATTTCCGCGCAAACCTTACCTGAAAAATTTCGCTAAATTTCACGCTAATTTTGGCGAGGAATGTTTACCTAAATTTCTCGTTAAATTAATCGGGGAAACGTAACACGCTAAATTTAGCGGGAAAAGTTTGGCTAAATGTCGCAATATATTTAGAGGGAAAATTTTCTGCTAAATTTATCGGAAAATATTTTTCTAAGTTTAGCGGGAAATTAAGCGAAAAATTCCGCTAAATGGAAGGCGAGAAGGAGAGGAGGAGAGGAGTGGGAGGAGAGGCATATTTCCGTTCTGTACCCTTTTGTCCTCGTGCTGGAGATCTGCGCTCCAATTTCGCATTATAGAGAATCGTAAACATATCTCATATTATTTCGATGTAATCAATGCCCTGACTTCTAGACAATTTCTGAACATCATTCATGAATTTAATTTTGACGTAGAAAACTCAATCTGATAATATGTTTATAGAGCAACATATCCTGATGTACCCGACAATATGTTTATGCAAGTAGCTTAAAAATATTATGCAACATTTTTTAAGACATTAAGAGGTTCAGAAAAATTTGTAATTCATGTAACCCAACTTTCAAAAAAATATCAAAATCTGCAGAAGAAAAGTTTCGAAATGCTAGGGAGCAGTATTATCATAATTGTTTTCAGCCGTCACTTGGTCGCGTTGATATTATCTTGAAAAATTCCATTTTGCTTTCAAAAGAATGAATAAGAAGACAATTAGATAGGTGAATTTTAACTGTGAAGAGTTTAGAGGAGCCTTTATTAAATATTTTGTAAATCTAGTGAGCTTAACTTATAATAGTAGATAGCATGTCATCACGTTAAATAAATAACATTGATTGAAATTTTTTTTTTTCCTGCAAGTGATTCCGAGGTATTTATAGTCTTTTATTCCTTTGATGCCTTTATAAATAAAAGCTTGAAAGTATAGGTTCTTCCTTGTGGGCCGTTGCGAAAAGCACCCTTTGCATTCAGCCTAGACACCAGCAAAGTTATTTCAGATGTACGTTCTTTGATTGGGCACCTACTTGAGGGTAGGCAAATGCGGTGCACTCAGTTAAATACAAAGTTTCCTTACTACTCATCTCTGCACGTGTGTGTGTCGAACCAACTCGCTTGATGCGAATAACAAACCCGATATCTGGACCGAGGGCTGCATCTTCCATGAGTTTTTCATAAAATTGAATAACTCCCGTGCACTTGCTACTGAAACCTCTAAAAATGTATAGAGTATTAGGGTCTTACTGTGAGAACACGCCCGGTCTGCGACCTGAGGCTGACGAGTTCTTGTGCAACGATTTTTTTATAATGTGTTTAATATTTTCCGATGAAAGAAAATGTGGCTTTTAGATGGAATCTTGAGCAAAGAATATTTTCCTCTTTCTTACACAGTTTACCGAAAGATGGAAACTATGCAGCGACAAGACGAACGTTCGTGGCCGTGTTTTGATTGCGGTCAGCGACCCTGTGTCTAGCTGTATGAGACATGACCATGTTTGGATCGATATTATATCATGTTTGGATTGATATTAGTATAACATGTTTGGATCGATATTATATCAATTAATTATTTAAACTATTTAATAGGAAATGATTAGTTTCCACCTCCTTCGAATGAAACTACGTTTACTGATCATTTTAAGAGCCAGGAGAAGCAGATATATTTATCAAAGGTCAGTGTCCACCTTTGTAAAGATTTTAACCTTCCTGGCGTAGACTGGTCATTTGATCAACTTTTTTGTGGAAAATTGGAAGCAAGTAAGAACGTGCATTCTTCAATTAATTTCCCAATTTCAGTTGTCTGACCCACGGCAACAGGTTCCGAAAAACAGACGGGAACGTACTTGATCTTTATTTCTATAATTCTGAAACTGTTGATTTAATTGCAGTAATTGATACGATTGTTTGTGCTGAAGCTTTTCATTCGTCTTTCTGGCTTGTATTTGTCCTTTTTAAAAGGATGCGTGCTCGAGGGAGTTTTTCCATTATTACTAAATTACTATTGACTACCTAGGCTTGAACACATGTTTTCGAGCTCACGATTGGTCGATGATTTTAAATGATAACTGTGTGGATACTGCCACTGAAACCTTTACTTTGGTCGTCAGAAAAGGCATTGATACTTTTATTCCTCAGCTAACTATTAAGTTCAAGACGTACCCGACGTGGTTTCTCAAGAAATTACGCTATTTTATGCGCAAAAAAGTGCAGCTTTAGAAATTTCTAAATCAAGAGGTGCGAATTTATGGTAACCAAAGTTTACATATTATAGAACCCTCGTGGAACAATTGTATGTTCACGACAAACATGCTCACCAAGCACAAGTAAAGAAGTGTTTGTTCCGGAAACCAGACCAGTTTTGGCAACTTTTTAAACATTTTTTTTTGTTTTTAAAGTTGTTTAACATTATTTGTTAAAGGGAAACGTTGCTTTGAGATCGAATCTCAAGCAAAGATTATATTCGTCCATCTTACGCTGTTCACCGGAGAGATGGAAACTATGAGATGACTGCACATACGTTTGGTTGCGGGGTGTTAACTATAGTCGACGGCCCTGTGTCAAGCTCTAGGAGACACAAGACAATCTGCGGAGGAAGAGCAAGGCACATCCCCTCTCAGGGAGACACGCGTTCCGCAGAACAAAGACTCCCTCGAAAGTTTACCGCTATGAAAATGTTCACGGCAGGTGTCTCTATCCTGGTCTAGGATACCGTACCCTCCCTGTCCTTACCCCTCTTACCCTACTCACACCCAAATAACTCTAACCAAGAATGCTTGATGTAACTTTCTGCAATAAACAGTTGTTAAATAATAATTTCACCCATTATCTTGCATTCCCCAGTGCATTGTTAAATGTACGCCCCCATATTCGAATGACTGATCATATTTATGCTACTTCAATCCGAATATACTGTTTGTTCATGAATTCGTTTCTCAACCTAAGCGGCCGGTTCTTCATGACTTGTTTCATTTACGCTAGCGCGAATTTAGAAGGAAAAAAATATATTTTATTTATTAAACTTGTTTTTAAAAAATGTAGAAAAATATAGGAGACGCCTGAGCTGTACCTTTAAGATCGGAATGCTATAGCGTTATCCGGTCCCGTTCGCAAAGCCTCCTCACATAAACGCGTGCTCGTTTCTATACCGTGCAAGCGTGTGTGCGTGGCCTAGTCGGTAACGTCACGTGTAACGTGACGTCACACGGGGCTGTGATGTCATGAACCTATCGACCCGTTAATTTTGGCGTGAAAATTTCCGCTAAATTTGGCACAAGCATTTTCTGCTAAATTTTGCTTGAAAATGTTTCACTAAATTTGACAGGAATGTTTTTCCACCAAATTTCCCAGGTAAATCCCGTATTGCAGCGCACGCAGCCACCTGAGACGTCACGTAAGACACACGTGCCTGCGCGAGTTGCATTTTAAGATTGTTTAGTCCCACCGGCGCCGACGCCAACGCTAAAGCCGACACCAAATGTTTTGCGACACGAGCTCCTATACGCTAACGAGTTAAAAATGTGAAAAGCAGCAGAGGTTTTATTATCGACCTTTCGAGCTGAGCCTGTTCTGCCCGCAAGGGCAGGCTCTGCTCGAAACGGAGAAGGTAAAGCCTCTGCCGGTGCTCACAATTTTTTTTACGTGTGGTTCACCCCCGGTGAAGAATTGTTTAAGAACACTTTGTATTTTTCGGAAACTTAAACTCAGCACCCTCAAGTTCACAGGTCCCTAGATATTTATGAACACTTTATTTTGTTTGCGCAAGAAAAAAAAAAGCAATAACGATGCACTTTCTTCGATACACATTAAACACGGCGTAATACTCTTGAGATACAGTTTATAATTTAATCGGTCGCTATTTTAATTCACATATAGCGGTGTCTTTGGCTTCATTATTGCAAGGCTGGATAAACCGGAACAAAAAGATTGCTAAAATAAACAAAAAACCTCAGCAAAATAGCGATAGATCGGAGCACTATCTAAAACATAGTCCGCTGCTGTAAATACTCTCAAAATGATTTTATTAGCATTAATTGGGGCTGGGCGTCCATTAAAATTCTAACAAAATTAATCATCATCTGTTATTTAATTTATTTATCGATTGATCGGTCACGTTCATTTTCATGCGTACATTTGTTTAAGATAAGAATATTTTTTCTTTTGCTCAATATTTAAAACGGTGCAATCTAAAAATTCGATTTTGAATCAGCCTTAAAAGATTACCTTGAGTTATCCCTTTATACGGGTGTGCCTAACTTAATCTGCGGTGTAAAAGCATTTATTTTACTTTGATTTCGTGTTTCGAGTTTTCACGAATTAATCGATTAAATATAATCGCTATTAAAGCGTTATTTGGTTAATCCTTAGGTTAACAAATTGGTTGCCCGGATATTAAGCTGTTTTTATCACCTAAACATATATTTTACTATTTTAGCGTTGAAGGAATTCGTCAGGAACACCTCAAGTGTGTTTATGTTTAGGCCGCATCTTTTCTCTACGAAGAAATTTCTGAAGTCGGAAAACGATTTTTTCAGTTCTACCGAAACGATGGGCCCGACGCCATGCGCGCTATTTTGAGCTCTCGGGAATTGTGCCCATTGTATGTTAGGATTTTTTTTTTTTTTTGAGGGGGGGGGGGGGGAGAGGTGATATTTATTAGGTTTTGTTTTTGAGCTGGAAAGTGCTACCAGAACTCCAAGTTTTTTTTAACAGCCCTTATTTCTTGACGATACAAAATATTATCAATTGCTGAAATGCTATTGAGTTGAGGGCGTGTAACCTAAATGACTGGTTACTTATTAAGATATCTGGACAATAGAGACAATTGGGGCTATTTGTAATCCTTCGGAGATAATAAACGTAAATTTGGCGAAATTCGGGGCACTATAGTTTATGAAAACAGAATGGAAATTGCTTGGTATATATGTCTACTGATATATGACAATATTTTGGGGATTTTCGCAAAATCCCGACATTTCCCGACAGAAGTCTCAGACTTCATCATAACACAAAGCGCAGTCAAATGTCTGAGCACAATAACTGAGAGACATACTAAAAGTGTAAGGTCATACCGGACTCGCTGCACAACGGCCGGGCTTAACAGCGCCATTCCATACGGCCCTCGTATTTCCATATAGAAACAATGGGAGTTTTTCTACCGTTGGAGGGGGGGGGGGGTTGTCAGAACGCCACCCCTTCTAAAGCCCTTTGATGTGTTTGCTTTTGTCCTGCAAGTGGCGTCAAATTCACCGGTGCACGAGGCCGGCGTCTCCAGCGTCTATTGCAAGCAAATGACGGCGCAGCACTGATATGAGCGGCCCTTCGAAGCGAATGGCGGCGGAGGACCCGCTCATGGCACGTGTCTTGGGAGTTTCCACAACCATAGTGAGCGGTACTTGTAAGCGTGAACTTTATTAAGGAACTTGCCCTTCCGAGTACTGCCTAAAGCACCCTGAAGAACTCTTATCACCACCGTGGTTGAAACGGTATGCAAATGTACCCATAAGAAACCAGGTAGTTCGCTGATTTAAAAGCTTTTCGCTTACAAGAAATAGGCGCTTGCATCTAGAGATTTCTTTGTTTAGAAGGAAAATAAGTGTTCTGCGTAAGTCTTTGAAGACGGGCGGCGGCAATGTCTGTAGTTACAAGTAGTCTCAAAATTTCTTAAATTTGACCACGGAGCCAACAGGTAAATGTCGTCAGATTCTTGCTAGGACGTATAAGAACGCTGCAGGAGGGTTGAGGTAAAAGCGACTCCACCGAGCTCCGGTGTAAGAGAGGAACTACCCCTAAAGTGAAGGCCGCAAGAAAGCACATTTTTTCCTTCTAGCCCATCCATGGCTGCAGTTTATTGGATCCGTAATGACAGCCCACGCAAATGAAGATTATGAAGTATATAAGTTTGCTCTTGATAGATTTCTTGAGTAAACCTTTTGGCTCGTAGTTTCGGCTGCGCATTGACTTAAAGTAAAAAAAAAAAAAACTTTAGGTGACAAAAAAAAAAAAAAAAAAAAACTCATGAGTGGAGCTGTGCCTAAAAAAGACAGTCAGCGTTTTATGTAATTGAAAGCCTGTATCTAGGTCGGCCAGTTTAGTACAAGATTTTAATTTGAAAAATCAATTAGAACAATACGATTTACCGCTCGTGAATGCAATGTTTGAGCTAATAGCGAAAAAAAAAAACGCCGTTGCCTTTTTGTTACCAACTGTTTCCCGCAGTAGGCATCTACCTCTTTGTCTTCTGTTGTATTTCGTGCTTCTTGACATCATAGATATGTTCGTGCAATTATTACGCATTTTTCTGTGTAAAGGCCAAGTTTACCCGATTGTTCATTTTCTGGGGTAGATTTAAATGTATGATATAGTCCCATCATGCAAGCACAGGGCAATAATCAGGAAACCTAAGCATCGTTTAGCGCCTCATTCACACTAGAGAAATCGTACGATTAGAAGTATATCGCATTTAGTTCCTTTTCATGCCTCTGTCCTCTTGTTATTTCTGGGCTCGAAATCATGAGTGCCATTACTTCGCAGAAACGTTTATGTTATGTGATGTTTTCTTGTATTCGTTGCTTTAATAACGCAAGTTCCTGTTCCGATGTACTTTAACTCGGTCATTAAAGTTTCGAAACATGCGCAATGTTGTATAATATATTTTGTATAATTCATTAGATTCCGTTATGTAAGTGCTCCTACTGCACATGTCGCGCTACATGTTGTTTGTAACACACAAAAATTGCCACAGGTGTGGTTCCTTTCCCGACAAGTGTAAATTGGTCATATCGAAAATGACGAAAGAAACAAAAACTCAATCAGCGAAGGAAGATAACCTCTACCCTCTTGACATATTTTTGATTCCATCCCTGGTTTTAGACAAAACCACGCTCTTAAAAATTAGAATCCAGTAGACGGACGAAAACATCGTGCATAGGAATCGCACGTCCAGTGCGATTCCTAGCTCACACGAGTTATCCATAAATAAACAGTGAGTTAGTCAGAGCTTTTATAACAAACCGCTTACCTGTTGTCCTGGTACTTGTGGAGAAGATAGTCTTTTGTGCAGTTCGAAAGCATGGGAAGGGGGGTCTCTGAAGTGTCGAGGCTCACGATATATCCATCTTTGCCGAGACATTCTGGTGCTTGGTGACCCTCATCCCAGGGTGTGCCTAGACTGAATAAAAATTACATTTTTTTAAGAAAATTCAGCTCCACATCGATTTTATTAGCCGGAGAGGGAACTTGATTACTTTTGATAAAACAAATGTGCAAAGACTTTCGTGCCCTCAATTACTGCTGCCAATTGGCGTTTTGAATAAAGGGAGTTGTAGTTAGAATTACCATAAAAGTGCTTGTTCGTTTCGAACAAAAAGAAAAGTAACAAAAACATATAACAAATGTTCTAAATACCAATGTTTAGTACCGCCATCTTTGGAAACATTTTGCGAATCACCGATTTACTCTCCCAGAATCGCTTCCTTTCGTAGGAAAAAAAATTTCGAAAAATATTACAAACTGGATTGAACAAAACGCAAAACGCGAGACTCCGTGGTAAAGTTTTAGAAAATTCGTGTCAAATAGCCATGTGGTAGACTCAAAAACGCTTCGAAAATCATGTGTATATCTTTAAGTAAATTACTAATTTGCTGTAGACGGCTTATTTTTCTCGGGCTCAATATGCGCCATTTAGGTCAAAGCTGAACTTTTCGAAAAATTCGCTGGTTCTAATTTTCGCGGCGCAGTGGAATCTCAATGTGGATTCCAATGTGTTTACACTTTACCGGAATTGTTCGCGTCGCCTATTTTTCGCGAATTTTGGGCGATTCCAAAAATTCGCGAAAATGAGATTTTTGCAAAAATTAAGTTGTTTACAGTATTTTTTTTTTTACATTTTCGCTGTTCTTGTTTTAAGATAATCGAGACATCAAATCACTATTTCTGAAACTGGCAGCCCTTAAATTATTGATAATGATGAGCACACCTTTATGGTCACGTCATCTTGGTTCTACACGTCCTAAGTAATACGACTTTTTTTAGTTAACTTCCTTCTAAAACAATAACATTGTGCGGTAGCGTTACGAAACTGATAAATGGAGGTTTTCTAACTCATTTTCATCCAATTGGTGGCGAATCTAATCCAAGTGCCGTTCAATTTAATTCAAGCGCCTTTGAATTTATTCGCTGCACTACCCGATTTTATCCCGGGGTCAGTCAACTTAATCCACAATGTATACGTGCACACTCTTTTTTGTCTTCAGGGGTCGTGTTTCGACTACACGTTTGATAAATTAGAGTAATTGTTTATACATTTACGTTTTGTTGTAGAATACTGATATATTGATCTCCATTTCGATCACTTGGAGTTACTACTCGCACTTCACATGTGCATTACTCTATTGGCGACCTCGAGATAGTAGTGGCGCACTCAACATTACTTTAGCTGAATTGACGTTTTGTTTACTCTTTCTCATTGCTTCGACTAATTATTGATACAGTTAAGATGACACATGTAAAATTGCAATTTGTGATTACTCTGTTTATAACTTCTCGCTATTATTGACACCGCTGACTTTAAATCGCCTCCACATCAAATTACTTCACCCTATGAACAGCACAATTTACATAATAAAAGTTCAGTAATTATTTTATTACTCTCTGGAGTACTTCGAGGAATTATTGACAAAAATATAATTTCGCAGAATCTTATTTGACATTCTGATTATTTTTTGATGATATAGCTAGCTATCATTGAAACAAACAAGTTAATATACGAAAACGTTTCATTACTCACACGATTACTTTAAACTTATATTGACGAAGTCGACCTGCTATAAGTTCAGGTAAGACTTTAATTACTCCTTTGATTAACGAGGTGATTTAAATTAGCTAAATTATGTTAGTCGCTATTTTTTATTTCAATTTTATATATTAGCCACACAACTAAGTTTATATCTGCATTATTGACATCTTGATTACTTTGAGTAACGAGTGACATATTTGACTTTATCTATTGGTCTAATTTGCATAATCCTCGCTATCTTTCATATTTTGAACTTTTATACTACCAAGTGATTTATTCTCAGTTGATACCGTTTTGATCACTCTTTTGATTAGTACTTTTGCTTAGTACTGACCCAGTGGAGTTTGATTCTTTCTAATTGGAATAACGATTACTCTTGACATGGTGCTGTTTTTCTTGATTACCTCGAGTTATTATGCAACCAGTGGGTCTATTACTAGCTCAATTCACAATAATAATAATTATTTTGTAATTTGTGTTTGTTTTGACCCATATATTTCATTACTGCCTAAATGGCATTATGATGACTCTCGAATACTTTGAGGTAATATTTAACCAAATTATTCATTATGAGCTCAATTCATATAGGATCACTATTTTGATTCTTTTGAGCTACTATTGACCCAATGAATTCTATTTCGGTCTAACACACATTTTGGGGACCCTCTTGATTACTTCGCGTTACTATACCACCCCTTCATCTATTACGGCCTTAATTCACATTAATATTATTACTCTTTGGATTACATCGAGTTACTTTTGACCCAAATGACTTTAATACGACCTGCATTACAATTTGAGGACCCCTTTGAATGCTTTCAAGTAATAGAATACCCACTAATTTATTTTAAGCCTAGTTGAAAGTATGATTAGTATCTTTATTACTTTGAGTTACTATTAACCCAATCAACTTTAATTCGGCTCAAGTGACATTGTGATGACCGTTTTGATTACTGTGAGCTAATATTCAAACAAATGATTTACGATGGGCTCAATAGGCATTATGATTACTCTTTTGGTTAGTTGGAGTTTCTTTTGACACAATGGACTAATTCGGCATAATTTACATTTTGTTGAGTCTCCTGATTGCTTCAAGTTATGATATCACCAATTGACCTAATATGAGCTCAAATCACTATTATTTCGCTTTTGAATACTTCGGGTTACTTTTGACACAACGGAATATAATTCGGCCAACATGAAAATTTGATGGCTCTTTTGATTACTGATATATTTTAAGCCTAGTTGATGTTGTGAGCTTTTATTTGATTACTTTGGGTTAGTAATGACTCAAAGGACTTTAATTTGGCCGAATATACATCTTAATGACTAATTTAGTTACTATGAGTTGCACCACCAATTGATATGTTAGGCGCAAAATTTAGAGTAATATTACTTTTTCTATTACTTCCAGTTATTTTTGACCCGATGGACTCTTTTTAGAACTTTGATATAATATCGAACCAAATGATTTATTAGGAGGCTAGTAGACATTATGATACCTATTTTTATTACTTTTGAGTTACTATTTACCCAATCGAATTTAGTTCGGCATAATTGACATTTTGGTGATCCTCTTAATTACTTCGAGGCAGTATACCACCAATTGATTTATTATGAGCTCAAAGCGCTATAATATTACTTTTTTAATTGCTTCGAGTTACCTTTGACCCAATAAAATTTAATGCGACCTATAGATATTGAGATAACTTTTATAATTAGTTCGAGGTAACATTGAACCAATTGAATTATCACGAGCCTGATTGACATTATGGGTACTATATTCATTACTATTAACCCGATGGATTTTTAAAACACCTAATTAACACTTTGATGACTTGATTTTTTTTACTTAATATACTATCAATTGATCTGCTATTAGCTTAGTTCACATTAATATTATTTTAGTTATTTCTGATCTTTTTTGACACAATGAATTTTCATTCGGCCTAATTGACATCGTGATGAGTCTTTTTATTTCATTGAGCTGGTATTCAATCATATTGTTTTTTATTAGCTCATTTGCCATTAGGATTGCTCTTTTGGTCACAATGACCGATTACATTCTAATTCGGCCTAATTCACATTGAACTAACTTATTTGATTAGTTCGAGCTTATTGTCACTCATAAAACATAAATTGGCTGAGTACAAAATCAAAGTAATAAGAACTATCAAAACATGAATTAGGCCACATTAAAATGTATTGGTTCAAAGGTAACTTGAAGCAATCAAAAGAGTAATAGTGATGTGATGTGATTTGATTGATATCATAATAGGTCATTTAGTGATATAACAGCTCGAAGTAATAAAGAGAATCACCAAAATGTCACTTTGCCAAATGGGTGATTTCAGATAAGATCGACCAAAGGGTAGCTGGTCGACGTTTTTAAATCAGTTGATGTTTTTATATGCCATTGTCTAGTGTTCGTTATAAAAGAATCCTCACTTAGTTTTGACAAAAAAAAAAGTTTAGGGACTGGAAAAATCGCAAGGCATGAAGAGGTGGGCCGTGGCATTAACGCGAACTGATGGAGGGGGAGGTTTGAGAGGGAATACCTAAAATGATAACATTAGGAAAATTTTCGTACTTTTTAGACGAAAACTATTGGTGTAGGTTTCTTTTAATATGGAATACAAATATTTATTTAAATTGTATGTATTTTATAAACATTGCCGAACATGCCTACTCGAACGACAAATGGCGAAATTTGGAGGCCTGTATCTCATGAAATAATTTAATCATTTTCATAAAATTTGCAGGTAGTACTCTAATTACAGATGGATATTATTTAAAAATAAATGAGGTGTCTGAGTGATCGATAGTCGGGATATATATAAGCAAACATAAAAAAATATCAAATAACAAAAATTCTGATGCCAATATAAAAAAAAACACCTCCTTCGATTTTTTTTTAAAATTTGAGTACCCTGTCGTACTTTATTTCGGTATTCATTTCTATTAATACACGATGCATTATTTTATTGAGAAAGAACACACCACTCCCTAAAGTAGGGCCCTTTTTCAAAGCCTGCACTTAGGAGTGCCCTATACGAGAAGTGACTGTGTGTTCTAGTTTCAGGAAGCTAACACACATCTTTCATATATTTTATTGAGAGGAGGTCACTGACAACTAGAGCAATCGGTCACACACTAAAAGGAAGGAAGAATTATATACAGCATTTTACGTACAGCGGACAAAGAGGTATCATATTAGAGACTAGTGATTCGTGAAAAGATGATGCAGCGTGAAGTTTTACATTCCGGTATAATTTATATTAAAATTAAAGATACAAATTCACTTCCGTACACAAAAATAAAGATAGAATACTAAAATTGTTTAGGTTAGTTATGTATTTCCGGGGACAAACCACATCAGGTGAGCGGTGTCACCGCGCCGGACTGTAAAAGCTTCGATACTCTCGGTGCACGAATAAATCGTGGCAAGCCGAGATATTTGATCCTGCTCGAGGATAACGTTTCATGATTCTAATATGGAGATCAGATAAAGATTATATGCTTTGACCAAGCAAAATACTAAGTTAAATACGCCGCGAAGAAAACGGTGATAAATAGGAAGTCCCTGTGTTCAAAATGAGCAGTCCTTGTCATTTCTTTTTGAGCTAGCATGTATGGCAATTTTTAGAACAATAAAAAAATTATTATTATTTTACTTTATATTACAAACAAGCTGTACCCATAGTTCACATCTAAAAGGTATTAAAATTCTGCTAATGTTATCGTTTTAGTTGTTCACTCTCAAACATGCCACCTCCATCAGTGCGCGCTAATGCCAGCGTCCACCTCTTCACGCCTTACGATTTTTGCTATCCCTAAATATTTTTTCTGGTCAAAACTAAGCTTGGATTCGTTTATACCAGACACTAGACAATAGCATATAAAAACATCAGTTGATTTAAAAATGTAGACCAGCGACCCTTTGGTCAGTCTTATCTGAAATCACCCAAATAAGTCTATCAAGATGTCAATAACGCTGATATAAACTCAGATATATGACTAATATATCGGCGAACAATGAAAACGTGACCACTTACTTTATTGAGTTAATTTAAAGCCAACAGGGTGAATAGTATTAAGATTGATCAAGGAGTAATAAAAGTTTAACTGGTGTTATATAAGCTCGCGCCTGTTAACAGTAATTCAAGGTAATCAACTAAGTAGCAAAACGTTTGCTTCAAGAAAGTTGTTTCTGTGAATAATAGGTATATAACCGAAAAGTAATTACAATGTCACATGAGCTTCGACGGAGTTATATTTTTGTCAATAATTCCTCGAAGTTATCAAGAGAGCAATAAATTCGGAAATTTATCTAAAGCAAAGTTGTGTGTGCCACTAATATCTCGAGGTTACCAAAAAAGTATTCCATATGTCAATAGGTCGACTAGTAACTCCAAGTGATGAAAATAGTGAACACTATTACAGGAGTCCCCAACTAATTCTAATTGTTTAAACAATTACTCTAATAAATCAAAACCGTAAGCGAAAACCGACCGCTAAAAACAAAAATGTGCATGGATATATCGTGTATTAAATTGGTTGACCCCAGAATCAAACGGTAGCACTGAGAATAAATGAAATGGCGCTTGAATTAAATTGAATGGCACTTGGATTCAGTTGACTGCAACTTGGAATAAAATGAGCGGGAAAACCTGCAGCCAGCTATTTTGAGAAGCAGTGGGGTAGCCATGTACTTACAGGTGTGCGATCTGCGTAACTAGCGATTTAAGTCCATAAAAAGCACGACCCTTGTCTCGCACGATACCAACACGGAGATGCGTGCAGATTCCATCTTGGTATGAAATACCTGCAAGGGGTTTAACATTAGGCTTATCCTCATGTGCAGTGCATGAGAGTCTTTAAGCAACACTCACCATGCACAGTTAGCCGTTTACCGGGCATTAACAAGAGGTTGTGCTATAGAGATGTTACAGTGCAAAGCTGCTATATAATTGATAGTTTTCCGAGTAAAAAAATGAGATATTGTTTATTGCAGAATAGTTCAAGCAGCAAATACAACATAGTGTTTTGAGACGTTTAAAATCGTAACAGCTGCCATAGACGCATACAAAAAACTGAACGATACCAAAAGAATATGGCCCTTCTCATTAGTTGAAGCGTCTAGTTGGATGGTGTCTGTAAGAATCGCAATAGAAACTTAGAGTTTTCGCATTCTTAAACCAACACCCCCAATATTGACAGTATGTCATTGCTGTGAATTCCGTCGATAAGCTCAAAATTTATTTTAGAATATACGGTGCTACAATTTTCATTTGAAATGCATTTAAATTTAAATGAACTTACTGGCACTGTAGTGATGTGTAAAAGAGGAAGATATGGCGCATCACATGACGCGAGATGACTGATTGGCTAACAGTTGACATTGTTATGAAGCCAATAAAAATTGAACGATCCGGCCAATCGCTCGAGGACCCGCTCAGGTCACAACCAGAGCGAACGTGTCTGTTGCCTTCGTCCTGCGGAAGCAGATGTTTTCGGCGCGATCGCCGCACCGAAATTACCGGCCGTGTCCTGGAGCCCACACGGCAGCCGTGTGAGTCGGAGCCCACACATCCAGCGATATCCCGGCGAACCGACCTTGTGGTCACGGCACCTCATCTGGCCACACCCCGTAGAGTAGTCGGTCCGCGCGCGATCTTTTATTACTGCAGTATAGTCGCCATTTTGGTTCATACCATGAGCACTTCCTCCTTGAGTTTTTAATTCTCCGAGAGCTGACATAAATTCGCTGGTGACTGGTATATCTATAAATATGTTTCTGGTATACCAATATTTGACTATTCACATACCGGTAAAAGAACGTTCATGATCGTATGGCCACCATATGCGATGTCGGTGCTTTATGTTTTTTATTGTAATCAAATACTTGAGACGAACAATATAATTATAAGCGACCCGTGGAGGTGGACACGATTGATAAGTTGATTGCATACACAGTGCCAAAGACGCCTATATTGGGGAGAAACGCCTTGAGCACGATAATTCTCCATGGGGATCTTGACACGACCGGTTTAGAACGACCCTGTCGAAGCTTCGAATATTTAAATGAACCATCAGCACGGTTGCCCTGGCAACGGAGACCAATCAGACAATCATCGTGTGAGGGTTTGGGCGTTTGTATGTTAGTATATGTTTGCGACCGGCCAGCATGCAGGGAAGGCAATGGCGCTACTTCCTCAGGATTCAGTGACTCTAAGTGCACTAGTGGGATGAATGTAGAGACTTCTTCGCATAACCTTATACCAGTGCGCAACTGATGTACCGTCGACACGTTCTACCCTTGAACCTCAATGGGTATGGGTGAAAATGCTTTGAGACGGACGTCGTGCGTGAGTTAGTTCCGAGTGTTTATTTTTGCCGAGTTTCAATGTTACAAAATATACAATCATCTGACTAATAGTACGTCATTGCCAGCTGCACAGGCAATTTTAACAGGCAAAATAATAGTCGCGGAAAGCGTGCGATGAGCACAAGAAGCTGCAGACCTTCAGCGCGTGTTGCTGAAATGTTTCTGAACTTCACATGTTCCTCAAGCATTCTTATTTATAAAGTCAGTCGAATTCCAGCGTGAACCGCGAGGGCTTTCTATCAGACTGATCGTCACCTTCATACTCACGACTACTTCGTCCAAGAAACTTGCACCGATTCCAACACGGTGTTGGTGCTTGGATTAGTTATCACTGAAATGTATGCTATTACTCCATATCACGTGAAGGGTATGAAAACGTCTACATGCCTCCACTCAAGATAAAGCTATCAAACTACGGGAATTTAACGGCATCGACTATACGAAACTGCTCATAAATTCCTTCGTTAAGGAAGCTCAATCAAAACACTCCACCGTCTTCGTCATCATACATTCGAGTAGGCAAGGTGATGGCCTGTAATTAGCCAGCTAGATTCATCCGGCCCAGTTCCAACCATACCCACCATAGCCAAGTCTTGCCAAGTTCCCCCATTGCCTACCCAGATAGCCGTGCTCCCATACCCAGCGGGTATTTAAAGTCATAAACCGCTAGACGGTGCTGTCGGCGCCTCATTTCTTAAGGTAGTTATGCCCTTAAAAAAAGTATGTATTCCGGAACGCCACTGAGCAAACATTTTTTGTTCTTGCGGTGTAATTTCTATGATATTATTATTCCTAAACTTGTCTTGTTTGACAGTAATGTCTCTTATCCGATGACAATGCACCCACCAAGATGCAGGACCAGAACCAGGCGGACCGTTTCAGTCGTGCACAAGTCACCAAGCTGAGTTTAGAGATTTCTGTCTGTACTTGGACCCCTTCGCGTCCCTTCTTCAGGGAATGTTATCGTTATTCTTGTCAGCTTGCTTACACCTTTGCTTTAATTGTATAATCCTCATAACCTTTAAATTCAGGCTGTTCACCATTGGTGGCGCTAGGCTGGTGGCAGCTGTTAAAACATGTTTGTTCTACTGACGTCCAGCTCCTGATTAGCTCAGTTGGTAGCGCGCTCCACTAGATACGGAGAGGTGCCTGATTCGATAATAGTATGAGGCCCATTTTTCAGTTACGCACTCCTCAACTATCTTTTTTAGGGGATTTGTGTCTTTCCTTTGTCCCCCCTTTTTCCCCCTCTACAAAGAATATTATCGTTTTTCTTGTCGAGCGCGCTGGCACTTTTGCAATAGTTCCATCATCAGCATAACCTTAAAATGCAGGCGTTCACCCTTCTTTTGTATTTGACTGGTGGCGTCGGTGAAAACCTGTTTGCTCTACTGGCGTCTAGTCTAACTCCTGGTTAGTTCAGGTGATGAAGCGGCCAATGGATGTAGAGGCGTCCTTCTTTCGATACCAGGGCAAGGCCGATTTTTTAAGTCACGCACCATTCATGTAGTTTCGTTTGGATATCTATGTCTGTCCTTTGTGCCTCTTAATCCCCTTCCCCAGGGATTATTATTCCGCTGTCTCTATCCCTTGCCTACAGACATCACCATGAAATTCGAAGGAAAAGAGGGGGGAGGGGTATTGGGAAGATCCGGGTTTAGATACAATCTTGAAATTTAAAGCGAGTATGGGCGGGTCAGGTGCCTTGAATATTAGAAGCTTTTCCGAGACCTTTCCAAGTTTTTTTGTGAAGGAATCAGTCACCTCGAAACGACTCACTAAGGCTCTCTTTTCCCAGTCCACAACAATTTGCGCGCGTGCGTAGTGGCGCCAGCGAATATTTTGGTGCTAATGCGTTCGATCAAAACACCTTACAAAAATTTAATCTTCACGAGCATTCCCGTAGTGGCTTGACGCATCGCTGTGATGACTGCTATAGCCGAACCCCAACACAGTCTGGAAGTCAGTCCGTGTCCTGTGATTCTTCAACGCGAGTGCGCGCTGGTAAACATTTGTGGCATATAACTGGCTCCAGAGCACGTGACTGCTTTGGCTGCTAGCTGAAGAGATAAGAGCTGCTTGTTTTTTTTAATTTATTTTCAATCAAATATTTTTTTGAGCGGAGAGAAACTACCGCGTATTTCACTGGTTACAAATCTCAGGAATTTATTTAAAGCGGTATTTGCCCCAATTACAAAAATTGTTCTACCACACATTTAGGACGCCATAGCCTTTCTCCGATTGCCATCCTTAGCCATTCATAGAGAGCCAACTACAGCGAAGTTTTTAGTCGCGCTCGTCACCAATAAAATTGTAAAACTTACAAAAAGCACCAGTTTAGCTTGTGATAATACCAGTCCACCGGCTAACGATTGTCATTGCAGCGAGCAAGAGGAGCGTACTCATAAGCACAAATATTTAGAATGGCTAATGTGAATTGGCGTATGCATATTTTATACATCGGGAAGCCCATAAAACTAGAGGCACATTCGCGCGGCCTGATCCCTAGCCACATTTCTACTTGAGCTAATAGATCAAACCATTACTAGGTCAAGCCATGCGCATTTCTGCCGGCGACTATGACACCATTGCTTGATGGCTATATTACTCTGTAAGGAAACGTCGTCTGGCCCTTCTTTGTACTTTAGAAACGTTGTCCCGTGTAGATGAGAGTCAATTAGTAGGCTACGCTTCAGAGAGAGGACATAGCAGCCATTTTTGAAATTAAAATAACTATCGCCAGTTATCTCGAACTTCATTCGGCGTCGGAGGAAAGGGCTTTTCGTCCTGGAGAAATCGTAAAGCAATGCACAAAGGCTGAAGACGATATTCTTGAGCTCCCTGAAACAGTATATGAAGTTCAGGAAGTCACATTCTTAAGTCGTAACGATCGCTAATCGTACCCACTCTCCACTCAGCACCAAAATGGTGGCGTCCACAGAAAATTTGGAGAATTATGTGGCACCACTCGGACTGTAACTTTAAAGTGGCACTTGCGTGGATATAATAAATATCCCGGCTTTGAAGTTTGCTTGGTTCTTAATTGTATTTACACTTTCTGACCCACAGGCGGGGAGGTCAATATGTAGGGGCGCATTGATAATTTTTTTTACAACATACAAAAATGGTCTATGGATATATATAAACTATCCTATAAATAGCTATCACCGCCTATGCCACTCTATAACTTGTCATAATAACCTATTTTACAACCTATGCAAGCTATGAAAGTATTATGGCACTTAGGCTAAAAACTTGTAACCCTAAAATTTTTTTTATCCGATTTAAGAAAGCTGTATTTTTACAAAGCTATGCGGTGAGAAAGTGATCTACTTCTTGCGCAAGAGTTAAGGTGATGTCAGTACGAAGCCGATCTCTGACTGGCTATCATTGAAAGGATAGTGGGTCGACCTGATTGCTAGATGTTTTAAGGTCTA